GGTAATTTATAATAGTAGTTTCATGTTTGGAATGCCTGTCATTCTGGTATTCTGAATATGGGCGGCTTGTCATGACAAGCCAGTTACTGCTATGATGTCTCTTGGGTAGGTGGATGTTCAAGAAGAAGGGGATATTGAATGAAAGCAAGAGACAAGAAAAGGAATATTGTTGGACAGTCATGCTTCAATGTTGCATATGGTGGGATTTGTGGAGTTATATGCAAACATGAGAAGTATATAATTCTTTATCCTATCTTTAAAGTATAATCTCATTTTTAAATGTTTTATTATCGTATTATGTAGGGACTTAAAGTTCAACATATCGATACTTCATGAAAAATGCCCGTTCCTTTTTATGCCTAAGATGTTTGAAATGCAGTGAGATAGTGAGGTTAAGCTTAACAGCCTAAAGCATTTGATAATAACAATAAGCTTGTCTTCTGAATGTTTAACAACCTAAGTTTGTAGACCAAAATTAGGGAAAAAGGAGGGCTACAAGGAAAGCCAACATTTTGGCCCTAGCCTTCCAAGGTCAATTAAGACTCAGGACATATGAGAACTTGTACTGTAACGTCATGTACCTCGGTAGTGTCCCAAATTTTCTGATCAAGAAGATTATGGGGCCAAAGAGGAAAGTGATCGATGACGTAGAGTGTGCCTAAGGAGAGTCACATGGGGAGAAAACACTCTCTCAGGCTTTCACAGAAAGCACATTGGCCAAGCAATGGCCGTGACTCATCCACATGGCTGACACTGACAAAGCTTCTACAATCTGAGGTACAGGATCTCAGGATAAATCCTGAGGGGATTTCACTGACCTTCTCAGACCAAAAAGCTACAACTCTTGTTGCACAGGTCCTGCTTTACCTTGGTCTTAACTATCCAGGAGAAAAGTATGAAGACGAAATATAGGAAGTAAAGCCATTCTGTTTTGTTGAGCTGTGGGGGACTCAGGTCAATAATTTCTGACATTGCCAGTTGAACAGAAGACCCAATGTTATTATGGACTACTGGATTCTTTTAGAATATTTTGCTGAATTTACACACCTATAATATTCAATAACAGAACTTAGAAAAAATGTGGTATACAGATGAATGTTCATTTTGTATCTGTGTATTCAAAGTGATTAGGATAGATAAATAGTTGCATTCTCTTAATGAATAGAATGATTTTTTCTAATGGTGTTTGTAAATAGGATCTCAACTCCGCATCTTGTACAGCAATTAACCACTAAGAAGAATATATGCAGTGTGTTATTTGTTGAATCTGTACTTCCGATTTGATTTGAAACTGTCTCATTGCTGTTTATCAATAAAATTTTGAAAAAATAAGTGCTAATTAAAATAAGATTGAGATACAATTCCCCCAAGAAAGAATGGCTATCATAAAAAAAATTTAACTAGTAAATCCCAGAGAAGTTGTATGGAAAAATTATCCCTTCTCCATGGTTGGTGGGAATGTAGACTGATACAATCATTATAGAAATTCATGTGAAGACTGCTCACAAAACGAGCATTGTAGGTCCCATTCAAGCTAGTTGTTCCTCTTCTGGATATTTTCCTGAAAGAGCTGAAAGCATGATATCACAGTGATTTTTGTGCACCCGTGTTTATAGCTGCACAATGTAGGATAGCAAAATCTTGGAAACAACCAAAATGTACATACCTGAAGGAATGGGTAAAAAACATGTGATATTTTATATACTCAGCTATAAAGAAAGACAAACTTGAGGCCTTTATAGGTAAGTGAACTCAACTAGAGGCTGCACTCATAAGCAATATTAATCGGACCCACATATTTAAATACCGTTTTGCTTCCATGTGTAAGAATCTGAAAGGGTAAATAAAACCTGAGAGGTATAATAGGTTTAGTGAAATGGAAAGGAACTAAAAATACAGAGTAGACAACGATGACGAGGGAAAGGAGAAAAATAGGAAAAAAGGAAGGCTTAAAAATCACGAAAAAATACATATAGCTAGGCTGGGGTGATGGTACTAATAATTTCCGTGAGGGTTCTTTTATTTATTTAATTATTTATTTATTTATTTATTTATTTATTTATTTGGTGTGACTAGGGATTGAACTCAGGCCCTTGCACTTGCCAGGCAAGCACTTACTCTACTGAGCCATCTCCCCAGTCCCTGTGAGTTTTTTAAAGCAGATAATGTTTAGAATTTTCACTCTGAAACGTCTCTGTATACTAATATAAGCAATCTAAGCAACCACAATGAAGACAACAATGTAATAAAAAAACATTGTCAAACACCTTTCATCTTGGTCTCCCAAATGTGTATCATTTCTAATGTCCTATCAATTGTATTTATTCTTTTTTTATTAATTAATTTATTTGTGTGTGTGTGTGTGTGGCCAGGTCAGCCCACCAGGGGGCAGGGCTATCTGGCATGTGGTGCTGGGGGATTGAACCGTGGTCCCTGTGCTTAGCTATGCTTGTTCTAAGTAGGTGCTTTAGACCACTGAGCCATCTCACCAGCCCCTGTATTTATTCTTTCAGCAAACCAACTCTTGAACTTATTAATCTTTGTATTTTTGCCTCCATTGCATTTATTTATGCTCTGTTCTTCATAATATCATGAGTTCTTTGGTCTTTGGGTTTGATTTTCTCTTCTTTCCCTAGGAGTTTGATTTGCAGCATGAGATTTCTTATTTGGACTTGTTCTGTTTTCCTGATGCAGGAATTTAATGATATAAATTTCCATCTTAATACAGCTTTCATTGCATCCCACAGGTTCTGGTAAGTTGTATCTGCATTTTTGTTAGATAGTAAATATTGTTTAATTTCTTCATTAATTTCATCATTGATTGTTTGGGACAGGATTATTTAGTTGCCATGTGTTTATAATTTTTGCTGTTTCTTTTGTCAATAATTTCCAGTTTCACTGCATTCTGGCCATATAATATCCATTTGATAATTTCAATATAGTTGCATTTCCTTAAGAATTTTGTATTGCTAGGACATGATTTATTTTGGCAAACCTCAAATATGCACCTGAGAAAAATGTATGTTCTGAACACTGAAAAGTTCTACTAAATCCAATTCTTCACAAGTTTGATTTAGTTGTGTTATTTCTTTCCTGATTTTTTGCACAGTTTATCTGTCTTTTTGTGTCAGTGGTGGCACGGACCTGTAATCCCAGCTCTTGTGAGGTTGTAAACAGTAGGATCGAGACCCAGTCCTAGCCCAGGTCCGGTGAGTGTGTGGAGAGCTTCCTGCTACCCTGCGCCGGCGGGACCAGTCCCAGCCCAGGCGCAGCATGGGCCGGACCCTCTCCCACCCCCTCAGGCTGCCCCCCACCACTCCGCCGCACCTCCCCTACCCCTCCCCCCTAGTAGGAGTTTCTGCCAACTTCCGGAAACCCCCAGACCCAGTCCTAGCCCAGGTCTGCAGCGGGAAGGAGCTGAGCACAGCAGCCAGACCTAAGCCAGATGCAGCTGGATAAGTCCAAACTCTGTAGAGCTCCACCTGAACTTCAGTAAATATGAAGGTTATAACTACAGCAAAGATCTACAACAAAGGGCAGAGGACAGTGCTACACAAAATGAGGAGAAGGAACAAAATGCCACCTCAGAACCCAAGCCCACCCATAACAAGTGCAGAGGACACTAACACAGAACAAAGTGGAAATCACACAGTTGAAAGCAATGAATCAACAGCTTCTGAAATAAAACAGCTGCAGAAAGTTATAGAAGACCTCAGATTGAAAATGAAAAAAGAAATCCCTGAATTAATAACATCTGCACTAAAGAATCAAATGCAGAAACATATGGAAGCAACCCAGTGCCCACCCAGAACAAGTGCGGAGGACACTAGCTCGGCTCAAATGCATGAATCAAGAGCGTTGATAGTAAATAAGCAGTAGCAGAAAGATATAGAGGAAATCAGAGCGCAATTCTTTTCTGAAATAAAAAAAGAACTCTCAGAACTCATAGCAGATGAAGTAAAGAAGCAACTACAGAAACATAAGCAGGAAACCCAATCTGAAAGAAACACTACAGTAAAAGAATTTCTAACTGCTTCTAAGGAAGATATTGATAAAAAAAATAGAGGAGATTAGAAAAATGACGGATTCCCTGAATGAGCAATACAGGAAAGAAATAGATCGCATGAAGCAGAGTCAAAGAGATATAGAGGAAATTAAACTCTCAATCACAAGCTTGCAAAACCGTTTAAGTGAATGTGAAGACAGAGTTTCAGATCTTGAAGATGCTGGTGCAGCTAGTGAAAAGGTAAGAAAGGATCTCTTAAAAACAACGAGGATGCAGGAAAGAATAATCCATCACCTGCAAGATGATGCAAAGATGAACAATGTGAGACTAATAGGCATCAATGAGAAAGAAGGAGTCAACACAAATGACATGTAAACAGTAGGATCACTACAAGTCGGATCTAGTAGTGAGACCCTGAACAACCTGTAGACCCCTCCCTAAAATACCAAAAAAAAAGAAAGAAAGAAAGACAGAAAGAAAGAAAGAAAGAAAGAAAGAAAGAAAGAAAGAAAGAAAGAAATTAAGCAAATAAATATTAACAGGAGAAAATTGAACAAATTATCACAAATTTATATTCCTTAAATTGAATGTAATTATTATCATAAAAATTCATGAATAAAAAAATTCATGAATAAAATTTAGAGCATAATATTTGTCATTACAAATAAGAGTGTAACAAAATGTATTTTTTAAATGTAGTGATCTATATTTAGAAGATAGCACAAAAAATTGAGATTGCCAAAGAAAAACCAAGACATCATGAACACCAGTCAAATTAAAGCACAATAATATTATTTCTTGAAGTTTTAATACGAAGAAGAAAATTCAGAATAAAATTCAAAATGAATAGGTAATGTTATAATTGATATTGTCTATAATACTGCAAAACTAAAATTACATTCTTCACCAGGGTAAATCTTATACCATCATCTTTTTTTTTCCTGATAGAATTAGTGGTGCCCTTTTAGTACCTGACAAAAACATGTGTATAAGTTTAGGAAGGCTTCTTTCTTCCAGAATGTTTTTTGTCTTTGAAGTCATGCCAAGTATTTTTTCCTGGCTGTAACAAAATAATGTAGCACTTGGGGACAAAGATGCAGCCCAGCAGCCCTGCACTGGAGGCCAAGATAGAAAAGACCTCCATGGCCACCATGGCTTTCCCCTTGCTGCTGTGGTACACAGGCAGGAAGGTGACCCACACGCTGCAGAACACCAGCATGCTGAACGTCAGGAACTTGGCTTCATTGAAGGTGTCAGGCAGGTTCCTGGCCAGGAAAGCCACAGTGAAGCTCACCAGGGCCAGGGAGCCCAGGTATCCCAGGACACAGTAGAAGGCAGTGAGGGAGCCCTTGTTGCACACGATGATGATGTGGCCATGCTCAGAATGAGCATCTGTGTCAATGTAGGGTGGATTTGTCCCCATCCAGACTGCACAGAGAGTGAGTTGGATCAGGAAGCAAATAGGGATGATGAAATTAGGTGCCCTTGATATCAGCAACTGCCTCATCCTTTTGCCTGGAACAGTGACCTTGAAGGCCAGCACCACAGTAACAGTTTTGGCCAAGACAGTGGAAACAGCCACAGTGAACACAAGTCCAAATGTGGTCTGCTGCAGGATGCAGGTGGCTGTGTTGGGCCGGCCAATGAAGAGCAACGAGCACAGGAAACAGAAAGAAAGTGAGATGAGAAGGGTGTAACTGAGAGCTCGATTATTTGCCTTGACAATGGGAGTGTCTCTGTGCTTCACAAAGAGTGCAAGAATTGCAGCTGTTAGAATAGTGAAACTAAAGGCTGTGCCAGCCAGAACCTTCCCTAAAGGGTCTTCATAAGTCATAAATATGATAGATTTTTGGATACACTCATTTTTCTGACTGTTGGCATATTGATGATCCGGGCACTTTATGCACTGCTCCACATCTAATGAAAAACGCAAATAGTTATCAGCTCAGCTTCTGTATTTCTCTATCATGTATAGACCCTCACACATATTCATTACATTAATTGAGCTAACTAATCCTTATGCCTGTGATGCCTTTAAAATTTAGACATTTAGAAATAGAATGTTATATAGAAAGTAACTTCCAGTTAATAATGTTCATCTTTACAGTTTATGGAGAACTATTATGTATTTTCTTTATTAACTTAGTTTTCATGTGAAACACTTTCCATATTACAAAACACTCCAAGATATTTCAGTCCAATTTGATTTGCAAGTGATATTTTCATAACACAGTCAGCGAACAACCACCAATTGAGAAAACATGATGTACTAAGTTCTATAGAGATATGAACTCATCTTCCTAGCTCCCCTGCTGTGAGCAGCTTTCTCTTTGATATGACCTTCCACTATTCCTCCTCATACTGGAGCCAGATGGATATGGACTAAATACACTCAAAATTGTAAGCCAATATGAAACTCTAGGATTTCAGTAGAATCATGGCAGCCAGAACAGAAGTGAGATTCTCCCTCTCCAAGGAACCTCAGTCATAGAAGAGGGAATCCAGACACTTTGAGACTTAAAATTGCGAGAGGTATATTTTTTCTTTTGTCAAATTTACATCTCTGGGTTTCACGCATTGGTCTCGGTCATTGGCAAACTCTGAATCTATGAAGTGTTTATTTTCTACAGCATAGGGCAGCCATTTCTCTAGCTGAATGAGAGACCTACCTGACCCTATATGAGGCAAAAACCTGGGGAAGGAAACATAAACACGAGGGTGAACAGCTCCATAGAGAAACAGAAGACTGGGTTACCACTCTCAGCCCTAAGAAAATCTCACACCTTTTTGTAAACTGAAAACAAAGTAAAGAATTTCACTCTAAAAGTAATTCCTGGGGCTGGTAAGATGGCTCAGTGGTCTAAAGCGCCTACTTGGAACAAGCTTAGCAAAGCACAGGGACGGTGGTTCAATCCCCCAGCACCATATGCCAGCCAGCCCTGCCCCCTGGTGGGCTGAGCTGGCCACACACACACACACACACAACCACACACGCACACACACACACAAATAAATAAATTTTAAAAAATAAATAAAAGTAACTCCTTCCATGTGCAGGTTAAAGTTGCAGAAGAAACACAGAGTGTTAAGTGAAAAAATTGATATTGTTCAATCAGAAGCCATTTTGGGAAGGGGTTGTTTGTGACTAAGTCACATAACAATTTCACTTTAAGGTTTCTAGTGTTACCCTTCCACAGGGACTTGTTTTGTTAAAGCCACAAGACACAGACATGGAGAATGCACACTAGACAGCCTTCTTGAGTAGTTCAAACTCAAAAGAGAAAGGACATGGGGTATGTGCTCTATGATAAGAAAACAAATCAGTTTGTGTAGCTTTTAGAGGTGGCTGAAATTGAAAAAATTATAGCATTGAGCTAAGTGGATTGCTTGAACTCCCACCCTGCCAATTACATTCATCACAAATTAGTGATCTGATTATTTTGCTCCTTCCACCAACAGAATCAAGGGCAAGCATGAGCTTGGATGAGTGCCACAGGCTTGGGTCTATGGAGAGAGAGCCCTCTGGAAAGAGCAAGCCTATTGTGATCCAGCCCTGTAGGCTGTAAATATAGGCAAAGAAAAGCATGACTTTCTGTGTTCTGTGACTGAAGATTCTGGAAAGAAACCACTCATTCAAAAACTCAGAGGAATTTTTATTGCGATCATGTTTTACTCTTCATTGTTTTTAGAGATTTTTGAGTTTATTTCCTTTTTAATGCACTTTGATTACTTTTGCATCCTTCCTTTGTTTTGGTCTCTCTTTCTCTTCCTTTTTATGTTTGTCCTTCTCTGGTACTTTAAAGTAATGCTATCAATATCCTCTAACTCCTTAACAATGTTTTTTAACTCACATCTCTCTTTTCCTGCTCATGTTCACTGCTGATTTTTCACATTTTATTTTTTATTCTCTCATTCCCCTTATCATTTTTCCAGTAAAACAATTAAGCTTTATTAGCTTTCAATTAATTCAGTGCTCTTACTTTTGAATTTATTTCCATTGTAAGTGCAAATATAGTTGTTGCATTTAGTGTATACTTCTTATGTGTAAATATTTACTTTGGATTAGTGTTTATAGTAAAATTATAGCACTCTTTTATTCAGGTAAGGGCAGTACAATATTGATCCTTATTTTATTAATATCTACTCTGATTTTGATGTCACTGTTGTTGCTGATTTTTTGCTATATCCAGAGTGGCAGAGTTCTTGATTTCACTTAGATTTTCATGTCATGCCAATATCTACATTGCTTCTATTTTATTTAAAATACTGCAACTCATTTTCAGAGTACTGAATGCTGGAACAATTATACTACACTCTCCCTTCCAAATTAACATATTTTTTACTCTTAAGACAGAGACAAAGCCCTATAGTTATCATTCCGAGAGTGCCTAACTCAAAGCAAACTCTATGTAAGAAAAATCCCCATTCCAGCAACAAAATCTTTCCACTATGATCCATACACAACTCTCAGCATGCAAGCACACACACACACACACACACACACACACACACACTGCACTAAAAATATGAAAAAACAAGACAACAAAATAACTTCAAATGATCCAAAGACCACACAACTCATCTATGGGCCATACAAGAGAGGAGGAAATCAAAGTCACACAACTTAATTATTCAAAAGGATAAAAGAAATAAGGAAACAGATGAATATGATTCTTATAAAGTACTAAAGTGATATATGTAATAGATAATGGACTGAACTTAAAATTGATCAATAAGTTTATAAAAGACACTAATAAAAATCCTACATGAGCTAAAAATAATTTTAAATGAATGATAAGTTTAGCAAAAAGTTAGAGTCCATGAAAATGAAATCCAATGATTCAAAATTCTGAGCACATGGGAGCAGACGTGAGAGTGTGAACAGTTTCAGAACTAGAAAATATTCTTCAAGTCAGTGACCTATTGCTCAGAGATACATTAAAAAGTAAATCAGGAAAAATGGATCCAAGAACAGTTAAATGACCCAAGAAAACTAATCTTTGTAGTGAAATTAGTGAATTTCACTAATCAATGTAGTGAAAAAACTTTTTTACAGAAATAATAGCAGAAAGTGTTCCAAGTATGGAGAAAATTTTAACATTAAACACAAATGAGGCATATAGAACTAAATAGCCAAGTTCAGCAAAGAATCTCACCACAACACATAGAGAAATTCCCAGAAATCCAACAGGAAGAATGACTCTTAAGAGAAATTAGATTTTGAAAGCAACAAATCACTTATCAAGTAAAGCTCATTATGATTACAACAGATTTCTCAACACAAATCTTAAAGGCTAGGAGAGCATGGCATCAAAGGCTTAAAGCCCTATAAAACTTCCAACCTCAACTTATACATCCTGAAAAGCTATTTTAAAAAATTGATCAAGAAATTAGGTCTTTTCCAGAAAAAAAACTCATCTTAAGAAATTCATGTCCACCATCCAACACTCCAGAGACAAGAAAGCCGACATTGTCACAGTGTTTTATGCACCAGTCAGGGTGAGTAGTTCAGCAGAAAGGAAGATAAGAGAGAATCAGCAACTAGGAAATGTGATGCCAGTAGCAAGTTCATGCTTTTCAGTAATAACTCTGTGTGAATAGACTTGATTACATAATCAAGAGATAGAATGAGAAACAAAACCTAATGATATGCTGTATAACAGAAATATGTTTAATCTCAACAGAAGCTCACAGTTTAGAAATCAAAGGATACAAAATACTATTCTGCACACTATGAACTGAAAATGAAGAATATGTAACGATGCCATTTTCACAGAAAGTGAACTTCAATTAAAATTTGTTAGAAGAGTTAAGGAAAGTCGCCATATATTTTTTTTGTTTATTATTTTTACATGGAAAGGGGATTGGGTACAGGAAGATACAGGAGGGAGAGTGCAGAAAGAAGTAGAAAAGATAATGTTGAGATACGTATATGAACCATACACATATGCATATTCTGGCATATGGGTATGTATTGAAAACACATATTAATAAAATATTTTTAAAGTATAGTGCATGGTGCTGGGAATAAAAGGATCTGAAGATCCCTGTATGTAATGATTTCTACAAAGATGATGAGGTGTTAGTAATTAGTCAGACATTGTGTTAAAGTCTATGGGGAGCATAGAACTTACATGCTGAGAATGATTTTGAGGATCTAACGCTCTACTATACCTAGAAAATATGTCGGAGCAACAGGCCATGACTCATACTGGTAACACCAGCTATAGGGGAGGCTGAGGCAGGAGATCAGGATCTTGAGGTGAATGGGAAATTTAGAAAAGCCTCATCTCAAAATAAAAAGTTTGGAGGATGTAAGTCAGTGATTACAGTATTGTAATGAGTTCAAGAGAAAAGAAAATAAATTAAACAGCATAGTTTAATAGGTAGAGAATGTGACTTTCCAACATAGAGAACTACTGAACACAATAGTAAAATTGCTAATTGAAAAAGAAAGAATTTTGTCTTTGCTGTCTTCTTCAGGATAATTTTTCTATTTCCTGGATTAAAATGGATAATACAAAATGGTAACTCTGTCCAAGAGGCAAGCTCTTACCAGTGAAATTGGCGATCTCATTCTCTAGACATGGTTTGCAATCAAAGCAACAGGCAGCTTTTCCTTCCTGGGGAGTTCTTCTAAATCCCGGATTACAACTTTCACTGCATACAGAGTGTGGAGTCTGAGGAATGATGTGTATTAGTAACATTTTGAATTTTATAATATTTTGGAAATAATGCGACAATTTGTATGTATACAAAAATCAAACTGAATGATTGAATGTCATCTAGTGAACAACGGATAGTTTAAGAATACTTATAAAGTTTGATGAAATAAATGTTCCCTTTCTATTAATAAGAAAGTTGACAAGAAAATCATTTAGAGACCATCATAGCCCAGGTCCAGTGAGTGTGTGGAGAGCTTCCTGCTACCCTGCACCGGCGGGACCAGTCCCAGCCCAGGCGCAGCGTGGGCCGGACCCTCTCCCACCCCCTTGGGCAACCCCCCACCACTCCTCACAACTCCCCCACCCTGCCCCCCGAGTAGGATTTTCTGCTGCATTCCGGGAACCCCCAGACCCAGTCCTAGCCCAGGTCCGGTGAATGTGTGGGAGAGCTTCCTGCTACCTGCGCCAGAGGGACCACTCCCAGGCCAGGTGCATCGAGGGCCGGAACCTCTCCCACCTCTTTGGGACACCACCCACCACTCTGCAAACCTCCACCACATCACCCGCTGAGTAGGAATTTCTGCCACGTTCCAGGAACCCCAAGACCCAGTCCTAGCCCAGGTCACCTGAGTGTGGGAGAGCTTCCTGCTACCCTGCGCCAGCGGGACCAGTCCAACTCCAGGCGCAGCGTGGGCCGGAACCTCCCCCAAGCCCTTGGGACGCCCCCTACCACTCCCCAGTATCTCCTCCAGCCTGCCTGCTGAGTAGGAATTTCTGCCGCGTTTCGGCAACCCCCAGACCCAGTCCTAGCCCAGGTCCGGTGAGTGTGTGGGAGAGCTTCCTCTTCCCCCTACTTCACTTTGCCCCCTTGAGGCATAGCTCAGGCCTGGCATACACGCATGGGGTGTAACTCTGCAGCTTCAATCCCCGTAGAGGGTGTCTACGGTGGATAGATTCACCCAGCTAGTCCAGGAGCAGAACATCTTGCCACAGGGGCACAACAGTTTCACCCTGAAGGGCAGCAGTGGGAAGGAGCTGAGCACAGCAGCCAGACCAAACCCAGACGCAGCGGGATAACTCCAAACTTTGTAGAGCTGCACCTGAACTTCAGTACAAGCGAAGGTTATAAGTACAGCAAAGATCTACAACAAAAGTCAGAAGACAGTGCTACACAAAATGACGAGAAAGAACAAAACGCAACCTCAGAACCTAGCCCACCCGTAACAAGAGCAGAAGACACTAACACAGAACAAATTGGAAATCACACAGCTGAAAGCAATGAATCAATGGCTTCTGAAAGAAAGAAACAGCTGCAGAAAGATATAGAGGACCTCAGATTGGAAATAAAAAAAGAAATCCCTGAATTAATAACATCTGCACTAAAGAATCAAATGCAGAAACATA